TGTCTCATGTGGCACATGGGCCGTTTTGAGGAACGAGATTAAGGCCTTAGCATGGGCCTCGGAGCACAACAATAAAGAGAGCATGGAGATTTTGGAGGGCGTGTGCCCCAACTGTTCCACAACATTGAAATCACTCTTCTTTATTATCTTTAGAATCTCCTCCATTTCTTGTTGGGAGGCTTCAACAGTTATAGGTATAGGTGCCTCCATCTGGGCAGGCTCAACTTCAATTTCTTTGCCCCGAGCATTGGACGACTCGGCAGCAGGAGAAACGACTTGGTCAGCAATAGGAACAGGTACACTTGTAGGAGTTATAAGAAGTGGTCTTCGAACAGTAGGCGGTGCAATATCAGGCGAGAAGAGCCTGCCACTGCGGGTAACCTTGGCTGGGCCAGTGATGTCACAGATGCTGGCGCCGGCGTTGAACTCTTGTTTAATCCCATTTACATACACATCTGCCCCATAATGCCAGGGGATAGCTTTGTCAGATATATAGGGCAGGGGCCCCGGAACAGTGATAACAATAGGTGCGACGGTCATGATTTGGACGGGCTTCTTCGGGAGAGCCTTAATTGGATTATTGAATATGGTAACCACAGAAACTTCTTCCACCGGAACCAACTGAACAGCAGACTTCTTAAACAGAATCTCCTTGCTATCCATTAGGCTTTGGATGCCTAACTTCAGCAAGGGACAACCAGATAGGGACACAGCACAGAACAGGCAACCCTCACTGCAACCCGGAAATAAACCGGCCAGCAGCAGGATCTTCTTGACAGTCTTCAGAGGAGTGGCTAGATCATCCACAGAAACAGCATAAACATCTTCGTCAACAGCATTTACCCCATGCTGAGGCATAGGAGCAGTAACTACATTCGGCCTCTCAGGCGCTTCGAACTGTATCTCCTTTGCGTCGATAAGGTCTTGCACCTTACTTCTTAATGCCCAACAGTCATCAGTAGAATGCCCCGGGCTATCTGAATGGTAAGCACAACGAGCATTCGGGTTGTACTTAGGAGATGCAGTATTTGGAAACTTCGGCGCCTCTCTGATAGTCACTAAGTTGGTTGAGAGCAACTGTGGAAAGATCTGCGACAAGGTCATACTCAAGCGGGTGAACTCTCTCCGGGGTCTTTCGCCCCTTTGAGGATTGGTCGGCCGAGGAGCGACAGCAGGCTTGGCAATCGTTACCGCACTGACAGATTGGCGGCGCTCAAATCTCTCTGATCTCTTGGAACCATACACGGCACTAGCCTCCTTCTTGAAGGGTTTCTTCTCAGAACTAGACGATGCACCCTTCGGAATCTTACCAGATTTTAACCCAGCCTCAATTCTCTCTCCAGTCAGAATCAGATCAGTGAACCCTGCAGATGAATTCCCGATAAGATGGTTGAAAAACGGCCCAGATAGGGTCCCCAAGAACATGTCTACCAACTCCCGATCAGTCAACGGAGGCTGCACCCTGCCAGCCAGATCTCTCCACTTCTGAGCGTACTCCTTAAAACCTTCACTTGAACCTAACGACATACCCTGGAGTTGGGTACGTGTAGGGGCAAGGTCGGCATTATATTGATACTGCTTATAGAAAGCAGTAGCCAACTCCTCCCAGTTACGAACCTTGGTCCCATCCAGCTGATAGAACCATTCGAGATGAGTCCCTGAAAGACTCTCCTGGAAGAAGTGGATCCACAAATTTTTATCCGCGGAGTACGGTTGAATTTTCCGAACATAGGACCTGAGATGTAGCTTGGGACAAGATGCCCCGTCATATTTAGTGAAAGATGGTGCTTTGAACTTCCGAGGAATAATCACACCAGTAGACAAACCCAGATCTCCAAAATCCAGCCCAGGCACCTGTTGTATTTCCATAGCATTCAACCTATCCTCCAGCTGCTTGTAACGGTCTTCTGCCAGAGGATATTGCTCTTCATCAAAATCAGTCTCGTTGTCGGAGACTACCGGACTAGGACCTTTTTCTGTCTGAGGAGTACTCTTGCCAACAGAAGAACCAACCTCTTCATGCTGCAGAGCATTGCCAAACCTTCGGCCCGAGTTGAACATAACAGTTCTTCTCTTCTTCTTCTTTTCCTTTTTCAGAAGTAGAGCCTTCAGCTCTTCTTGGCCCTGAGCGAAACCCTTGATTAATTCCTGGAATTGCGCATTCTGCGCCTGAAGAGCTTTGATGGATGTCTCAGTTGATGAAGAGTCAGGATTCATGATGCTGAAATAAACAGCGAAGAACTGTAAGCAACCTGAAAAGAGGAAAAACCTGCTATGCACATGATGAATGAGATGTGTTTATGCAATGCATTCAAGGGTTCGAAAGTTCAAATTTGTTGTAGACAAAAAGGAACACACGTTATCATTAAGGAAATAACTGTTTAGTACATCAAAGCCTCATGGGCAAAATAATACAAAAGTAAATCAATCCCAAAATACACTGCGCATCCTCTTTGGAGCTATGTAAGTGTTGAGATTCCTCTCCTCATGCAACAAGCGGGTGAGCTCCAAGACCTTCTTTTCACTGGCATGTAGACTAGTCTCAAGAGAATTCCGTTCCTCCTTAAGCTGGATCCAGCTTTTCTGCATCTCTTCCCAGGATGTGGGCATATCAGGGTGCTGAATAGTATAGGACACTTCTCCTTCCAAGACTGGTTCTTTGATTACTGGGAGCATATGAGGATAAGGCATTACTAACTTCTGGGAGCGGGCGCGTACCCACTTGAGATAAGGTTCCAACGGGATGGAGTTCCTGTGCCCCAGTGTCTTGCTGTCTATCCTATTTGGCATCCTCCAAGCTCTGATAAATCTCTGGCGAAGTCCTTGAGTATCGTTGTCGAAGTCAAAAACTATGTCAGGAATTAACATGTCATGAGGACCATCCCTCCGAGCATAACCAAACTGTCTCCAAGCCAGGCATGGGCTGTAAGTAATACCTCCTCTGATTCCAAGTAAAGGAACATTAGGGTACTCCCCGCAACGATCAATGATAGTGACATCTTCTCTGGACCGAGGGCACCAATGTATATCCGCATGTGTAAGAGTCATCAACCGTTGTGACCATCTCAAACCCCGCTCATTCTTCAAAACTGATTGTGGAAGGTGCGAAATAAACCACCTTCCCAGGAGAGGAGTGCAACACATAAGGACACCTCTTTTTCTCATGGTTCGAGTGTAACATGAGTGAAGGATGTCCCCCAGCAACGTAGGTATAGGATTCCTGGACATAAAGATCTGGACAACACTGATATCAATAAGCTGATCTGGGTTAGGGAACAACACCAAACCATAGACAAGGAGGGCCATAACTTCTTCAAAAGCTTGCAAGTCAAGGGAGTTCCAACATTCATGGGCCTTTTCAAACAGAAACCTGGCTAAGAACCCTTTGATACCACTTCTAACTTCCCAATGTCCCTTGAGGTCAGATGACTGTAGGTGCAAGGCTTTAGCAATCTCTTCAAGCTTAGGTTCCTTCTATGTACCGTTGAAGGGTAGCTGATCAAGGATAGGGATCTTCAGGAGCCGGGAGAACTCCTCCAATGTAGTTACCAACTGATAATCCAAGAAGGTGAAACAGTGATGCAGAGGGTCAAAGAACTGGAACAGGACCTTTATCATATCTTCCTCAATGTTGGTATTGACCAAGCTGATGAGACTTCCATGTCTTTCACTGAACGAAGAGTTCTCGGGAATCCTGGATATAAGTTCCTTAAGCTGAGGAGGGACCCTTACAAGACTGATTTGAATTGTCTTTCTGCGAACAGTTTCCATGTCCTACAAAACAAAGAACAAAGATGAAGATTTGATCCCCTGAAATGGTTAGTCAATGCATATGATGCTGGATGATGTCATGATGCTATGATTAAACACACCACAGATATTTACAAAGACAAACATGTAAGGCACACAAGGCACACAAGACAAGCCCTTAGGGTTTAAGGCCAGCATGGGGTCTGGGTAGTACCCTCTTGAAGTTGGTGGGTTCAACCTGTCCTATCAAAGTAACCGGGTTCTAAGGGTCCCAATATCACGGGATTGCTTTCATTGTTCATCGTTTCGATTTAGCCACTGAACTGGCGACCGAAATATTCCAGGAAAGCAACCCTCAATTGAGTGTAGTATCGAGTATCAACCAACCTCGGACTGCACCAAAGTCAGTTATCTCACTACCCTAAAGAGGCCAAGATAGTTCAATTAAGGTTCCTAAGGTCTGTTGATGCTTCACGATACCATGCAGAGGCCCCATACTCTCCTTGACTGAACTCAAGGGTTACCGGTACACACCAAAGTGCCACATCAACGTAGCAGACTGTTTCAACCATGTCGGTATACCCCGCACAGTTCCCTCACAGCCTTGTTGCTACTTTCTAAGAAGGTATTCCCCAGATCCGGGTTTAGGATCTATAGAACTCCCAAGCAACCCACAATTTAAAGCACACAAGGAAAACAATTGAAAACGCAGTTATGAACTAGCCCTAAGGTACACCTCACTTTAAGATTCTCCCCAGCAGAGTCGCCAGTTCTGTGATCGGTGGATCTGGAACTGACTGTTTAACGTTGGTTCGCGAAATGTCGCGGAAGCAAGAGTCGCCACCGTCTTTTATTTTCTCCAAATGGAAAGGACAAAAGCACAGAAAAATTCCTTAAAGAGATTGCTCTCGGTTCGGGAGGTAGGTTATAGAAAGGGAAGGTGTTAGCACCCTTTCTATCCATGGTTATCCATAGGCTCTTAGATACTTGCTCATTGTGTTTTCAAAATGGTTTGTTTGCTTTTCAATGTGGGTTTTAAAAAGTTTCTTTGAAAATTCCAGTTCGACTCTTGTATCAGTCCTCAAGAGTGTTTGAAAAATTGCTTTCGAAAGCTTTTTGAAAAGGTGTCGGTGTGAAAAGTATTTTTGATTTGTTTTGAAATTAGAGCAAGTATCTACGAGAACCTACCTACCCTAAGGAATTCGTCTGTGTAAATGTCCTTTAAAGTAGTGCCATCCCACCATTGAGAGGTAGGTAGCACCACCGTTGGAGGTGTTCGGGTCAATTCGAGTTTGTAGGGACATGGTGATCACCAAAGCAATGGGAAGACACCTTAGAAGCTACCCTCATGCCAGGTTCCCGGATCATGAGGACTTACTAAGACATCCTCTACTCGACGATCACCTTTCGAGGCAAGGCAACAGTGAGGCGTACCCTAGGGGTGGTGTGTGATTTGTGTGTCATGTTCAGTTATTTTGTCTTATTCATGTCAAGGTGATCTATGCGTTTGTTTTTATTTTATCATTCATTCTTGCATGCATTTATTTAACAGTTAAAAAAGATGCGGAAATTGAAAGTTCTAAACTATTACAAAGGCGCGGGTCCATATCGCCAAAATTAAAATCCAGGACCCGATTTGACGGAAAGTAAATAAAGAAATAAAATAAAGTGCGACAGATTAGTTACACGGCTTTGGGAGAGATACATAAATATTTAAACGAAATAAAATAAATATGCGAATTAATAAGAATTAATTAAAATAAATGCTAACCCTAATTCTAATTATTTTTAATTTATTAAGAAAAATGTTGAAGTTTTTAACCTAAAATTAACCCTAATTTTTATATATAATTTAATTATAAAAATAAATATCTAATATTTAATTATTATAAAAGAAAAAAAGATGAAAATTAATTAAACCCTAATTCTATGTTTTTTTTAGATTTTTATTATGAAAATATTAAATTAAACCCTAATTTAAAACTAATTAATTTACATACAAGTTTATTTAAAATATACATACTAAAATAAAATATTTATTATATTTTTTTTTGTCTTTTCTGATTTTTAGGTGTTTTTGGTTTTTATGAGAATAATTAATTAATTAAACAAAACAATAATTAAAAGGAAAATAGAAAATAAAATTAAAAAAAATAAGTAGAAGGAATTGCAAACCTAGGGGGTTCAGACCCCAAATAGGAGGTTTTTTCTTGATAATTCAGGCCCATTTAAATTCCTGGCCTTGTAGACTTTTTCACTCACGTGTAGCAGCGTTGACTGCAGTCTATGATGCTCCTCCAATTATGGCCCTGAGATTGTCCTTAGCGTACGCGTGGCATGCTGGATGGTGGGCTACATAGTACGCTCATTGTGTTGAAACTGCATAGGATAATTAGTTGAAAAATAAGATGGAAATAGTGAAGACCTGGGGCTCGAACCCAGGTCATGATTGTTACCAACAAAGTCTTCTACCAACTGCTCCAACCAACGCGCTTGTATATTTAACATCAAACAATTAATATAAAATAAAAACAAACATTGAGGATGTTTTAGCGCGAAAATTTAAAAGAGCCAATGGTTGCTGGCCACCACATCATCTTCTTCGTTGGTTTTTATTTTCCTGAAACACAAACATATTAGGCAACGGTTTTGCAAGCGTTTTAAAAGGTCATCTATGGAAAAATAGCGAATAGCCCGGTGATGCTCATAAATTGAGCGCGAGCATGGCCTTATGATCGTCTAAACGCACTGATTTGAATGGTGGTGGTTTCACACTCCAATTTTTCCTCATTCAAAAACCCCCAATTCGGAGCTTCACAAACCCTAAACTGCATCCATGGTGAATTCGGATATAGTGCACAAAAGTCTAATCAAAGTACATGGTTAGCTTTAGAATCTTGCAATGAACATAAACCAAGCATTAAAAGTTATGAAAAGTGCATGAATCGAAATGCAAGAACATGAAATTATTTCGGTACAGGTCCTGCTCGTTTTACCAATTCCTGATGTTTTGATGAATGATTTTGATTGGAAATCGTTCTGTGATCCTCCAGGAAGATGTTTGAACAACTATTATGCCTTGAATCACCCTGCAAAAGTGTTTTTAGTTATGAGTTTTTTTGCAAAAATTTTCAAGTTTGATGGATGCTTTTCTGCGCAGCTTAATGGTTAATGGCATTAGGGTTGTGTTCCTTGTATATGTAGTAATGATTTAGGTCAAAAATCTGATCAAAAGAATCCAAGATTTGATTGTTCAATATTTGATTTTCCAAGCATTCTTTTTTCAATCTTTTCCATGCAATTTGATACCAAATCATGCCAAAACTTTCCAAAATGATCATGCACGAATCTTGAATGTCCAATGAGAGTATTTTCTGCACAAAGAGATTTGATTTCATTAGTTTTGTATTTTTCATGTATTTTATTTAATTAAATGATTTATTAATAATAAAAAATCCAAATAAATAAATAAAAATAGAGAAAAACTTCCCTTTGGGCCTAATGGTCGTGTGCATGCTTGGGATAATGAATTGTGGAAGAAAAATGGGCCCATTAGCAATTTTAGGTCATTTGAATCAATGTTGACTTTTCAAAATATCCAAAAATTTCCCAACTTCCACAAGGCATAACTTGCTCAATTTTTAAGCTTTGCTCATGTTCTATGACATTTTGGAAAGGTCTTTGAGTCCTCTAACCAATGCCTTTGGTCCCATGTCATTTTGATTTACCAATCTCAAGTTATGGCCTTTGACTTAAAGTCCCTTTTTGTTGACTTTTGAAAATGACCTATAATGTTGAAATTGATAACTTTTTGTGAGAGCATTTCTTGGACTTGAAGTATGAAGATGAGTGGTAGGAAATGTCTTTCTATTCAAAATGAGCTTTGGATGGAATTTTTCTGATAATCCATGTGAAAGTTATGCCCTGGTCAATTTGCAGTTGACTTTTTTTCAACTGTCCAAATAAGGAAACTTTTGCATCTTGATGATTTTTGAGCCAAGCTTTGAGAATCATGATCAAGCATTGATCAAATGATGTTTGTGGCTTCAAAATGATATGTTGACCAAAAATTTGAACTTTTGACTGTCAAATGACCATTTTGCCCCTACAGTTGACTATAGTGCAATTAGGGTTTTGACTGTGCAATTTTGTGCTGAAAGTCTTGAAACTTGATATGAGGATGCTTGACCATATTTGTAGGCATGTGGGACTTGATTGGACCTTTGGAAACTTCATTTTCTTGATCAGAACACAAACCCTAGTTTTGACTGTATGGGAGGCCCTTGAACTGTGCAACCCTTGGGGAATTTTGCAACATGACTTGACAATTTCTTGAAGAATATGGGAGGGCAAATTTTGGGGTACAACAGTACCCATATCTTTTTGGGTCCTCTTGGGTTAGAGTATTTAAAGTTTTGTTTGAACTTTGGATTAGTATAAGAGTTTCCAGAGTGAGATGTATATTTAATATGATGTGTGTGCCCAGTGGTGAAGTGAGAATAGAGAGGAGTATGTTTGATAACCATATCCTTAACTTTCTTAGGCTGGGTTATTTTGCCTTTGTATCCTATACCTATTATGTCTTTCTTGCTAACTCTATAGATCATTGAAGCTTTAGTTTCATATTTTATAATTGATTTAAGGGCAATGGACTTACCTTTCTCTTGAGGCTCATGCTCATCAAGTTCTATCTCATGACTTCTGAGAGCACTGATGAGATCTTCAAGAGACACGTTGTTCAGATCTTTTGAAACTTTGAAAGTAGTGACCATAGGTGCCCATCTTCTGGGTAAGCTTATGATGATCTTCTTAACGTGATCTGCCTTAGAATATCCCTTGTTCAGAAATCTCAAGCCAACAATCAAAGTTTGGATCCTTGAGAACATATCTTCTATAGATTCACTTTCTTTCATCTTGAAGGCTTCATACTTCTGGACGAGAGCCAGAGCATTAGACTCCTTCACTTGAGTGTTTCCTTCGTGAGTCATTTTGAGTGACTCAAACATATCATGTGCTGTATCTCTATTTGTGATTTTTTTATATTCCATTTTAGAGATAACATTTAGAAAAATATTTCTAGCTCTATGATGATTTTTGAAATCAGCTTTTTGTTGTCTATCCATATTTTTCCTATCAATCTTGTTTCCTTCTAAGTCTGTAGGATGTGTGTAACCATCCAAGACTATATCCCATAAATCACTATCATGACCTAGAAAGAAACATTCTAGTTTATCTTTCCAATAATCAAAATCTTCTCCATCAAATACAGGAGGCTTGTTGTAACTATTGTTGTTTTGTTCATTTGCCATTGTGTTTTCTTCTGGATCTTTTCCTGACACGGTTAAGTGTTGAACTCAGAGTCAAGCTCTGATACCAATTGAAGGTGAAGAAAACACTTAGAGGGGGGTGGGGGAGGGGGTTGAATAAGTGACTCTTTTTGTTTTCAAAACAAATCTCAACAATAATGGAAAGACATGGTTATTTTTATCCTGGTTCGTTTGAACTCAAACTACTCCAGTCCACCCGCCAAGGTGATTTCGCCTTTCTCAATAAGGACTTAATCCACTATAATCAACTGATTACAATCACATAACAACTGTTATGACTAACAATGCACAAGTAACCTTACAAGTGACTAACACCACTAAGACTTAACTAGTCCTAGTCTACTTGAGAATTCTGACCAACCTTGGTCTCTCAAGGAACAATTACAAGATATAAATCTTTACAGATAGTGAGACAAAGTTTGCTTCTAAGAAAGCTATATCACAATTGTGATTTTTCACTAAGAATATTATAGCGCAAAGTGTATGAATAATGTTTGTGAGCCCATAATATTTTGTGTTGCTTTTGCTTCTTTTGAATTTGTTCAGTTCTATTCAGAACTTCAGGTGTTCAATCTTTCAGCGTTTCAGCAATAGTGCGTTAGAACAGTAGTTGGCTTGTAATAAATGTCCTTCTATATATAGTAAGAACAAAATGACCGTTGTTGCCTTCAAAAAGTGGAGAGCATTAAATGCTTGCGTGTTTCCTTGCACTATTCCATTTTCCAAGAAACTAGCTTAGACACTTGAGTGCTTGCAGTCGTCTTTGCATTAAATGAGCAAACGGTACTTGTAGGAATATGTTTCCTGAAGCTTGACAAGACAAGTTGGCTTTTGCATTCTTTCAGAACTTGCTTCAACATCTTGAATTCAGAACATGCTTTACTCATCTTCTAAACAATGCTTTGCTTGCTAAGAACTTGATCAGCGCTTGCTTTCAAGTAACCTTCTGAACAACACTTGCTTTCAAGTAATCTTCTGAACAAGGAATCCTGCTAAGTGTTAGAAGATATATTTAAATAAATTGTCTTACCAGAGTCAACAGTTGCGCTTAAAGCAAATAGTTCTTTCATCAAAGAACTTCTTCATTAATTTTTAGCTCAGCACATCAAAATGCTTTTGTCAGAACATTATCTGAAACATTCAAATACGTTCATCAGAGTATAAATTATCTAAAATATAATTTATTGTTATCATCAAAACTCTGAGATAGATCATAACTAATCTTGTTCTAACAAAAATCACATTTGCTGACAATAAATAATAACACCAATTAACATCAGCAGACAACACCAAAGTCAAGAAACTCAAATCCGATATATATATATATATATATATATATATATATATATATATATATATATATATATATATATATATATATATAGAGAGAGAGAGAGAGAGAGAGAGAGAGAGAGAGAAAATTCTATATAATTCACCGAATAAAACTTGATTTTTATATAACTCAAAGAAACATGTTGTCCAACGGAGTCGCAGATCATACGAATCATCTTGTGTTAATTCTGTTGGATCATCAAATATCTACAATACGTAAATAACAATATAAAATTATTCTTTGAAAATTCACGTAAAATTGCAAAATACATAAATAAATAACAAAATAAAATTATTTTTATTACCCGCGTCCAAGACTCAGTTTTCAATTTCAAAAACTTAAGCTACTCTTCCCACCAATAATACAACTCTTGAACAAACTTTAAGTAAGTCCCACATGTTATCTCACATTTTTTATATTTCTTGAAAATGCATCCAAAAAGCTACCTCAATTTTTTTATTGTTACGAAGCAACTCTTATTTAAGAATAATTCTTGCAATAGTAGAACTTGCAAGGACCGGTCGTTACCGCTACGAATCTTAATAGAAAATGTTATTGTAGATGACCTCATACAACACAGCCCAATAAACGAAAAAAATTCAAATAACTTACAACCTAAAGCTATACATTCTTGGAGTATTCATGTTAAATGAATCAAATATCACCCAGGTTCACATTGCCCTGTCTAATAATCCCAAATCTCTCATATAAGAATTTTAATAGTTCTGGAAAACACCAAAACACCTTGTTGCTTCTACAATCATGAAGCAATGATTTTCTACAATGTGATTTATCCATGTGATAATCTTTCGATCATCTTTAAATTTTCACAATTGAGATGTTTCTTTAGAATAGCTTTTACATTTATAATATATTAAAATAGAGTCCCAACATTTTATAAGCAAAAAAATTATAATATAATAAAGAAATCCATAAATATGAAAAATAGCCGGGTAAAGGGAGTGGCAACGTGATAGAAAGAAACCCTTTGAGCTTATTTTGTTGAAGAAACCCTTTTTCATATAGTTTCTAAAAATCAAAACCCATTCCTTTTTGCGGTGAAAGTTTCATATGATGTTGCGACAGAATCATCCAAAGAAGAAGCTTCAAGGAACCAGGTTTACGCTCTTGTTTTTATTCTGTGACAACTAGATGCGCTATCATCGTCTTCAACTTAGTTATTTTAATTCAAGCCTTAGGGTTTGTATGCTACCAAGTGTTGGTACACGGCTTTTTTGAGAGGTGTTTGGATTGTGTTATTTAAGCTTATCTATTTGAATAAGACTGTTTGGCAGCTTAACAAATAGCTAACAGTTTGGTTTTAGTTTACCTTGTGTTATAGAGAATACCTTACACTAGTACATATAAGCATTTTATGATGAGCACTTAATATTTAGGTGATGGTTGGCTTAAGGTTCTATGATAATGAAATTGTCCTATAGTGTTTGACATATGACTGAATCAAAATGTTCAACATCTGCATTGCTGTTTTTGGGACCCATGTTTGGCCAGCTGTGGAATATGGATGAACAATGTACACAATTCGCCAAGGAATAGGCCCGCTACTTAAGAGAATGCAGAAAATATATGGTTAGTTTATTTTGTATGCATTTTCACAATGTTTCCCTGATTCTCAACTTACCTCATGGATCCTCGAGCCTTTGTTTTCATTTCTTTACAGGAAAGATAGAAACTGGTGGTGAGTTCACTGATAAGGAGAGATTATCAGACAGAGCTAAGAGGAATCTAAGTCCATTACTTTCTTGTTTTAATGCCTAAGGAATGCTAAGTACGAGGAAGCATAAGAGAAATCTGAGTCAGTTTTTGGAACAAGTTCAGAGCTTGATGATGCAGCAGTGGCAAGTTATAATGTTGCTCGTTGTTACTCTAAGCTAAACCAGCTGTATATGTTTGTTCATTTTACAAATGGTATGTGCTGCGTTCCACTAATCTCTCATTGGCTTTCGATCTTTTTTTTAAGTGTCCAGTAATTATATCCCTCAACCACATATTTTCAATGATTAGTGTTATAACATGTCAAAGGTTGTGGGGGAGTGCCTAGTACAAAGTAAGTCATTTAAAAAACCTTTACAACCACATCTTTTCAATGATCAGTTTTATAACACGTTCCGTCTTAATAATATATATACTATACAAATTTATATCCATTAAGTCCCACATTGGATAGAACATCACACAAACAAGTCTTTATAAATGTTTTACATGATAGTTAGTTCGCCGAGTTGAGTAGCGTCAGCTTGTGACCCATGTGGGGGCACCAAGGTGATGGAACATGGCTAAGGCTTAACAGGATGGTCTATTGGTTGCACCATGCTGGCCCACCCGCTCCAAGTTGCGAGTTGACCCACAGGACTTGTGCGAAGGCATGGGTCTTGTGGGTCTTAGACAGGAGGGTATAGCGTGAGGCTGGTTTCACAGAGCAGCGAACACTTCCTACTCCTGACAGTGGAGGGATCACGGGCCGCTGCACCTCCGGTCCACAGCACCTGGTGAGCCTAGCCCTTGAACCATCTCTTTTTTTGTTGGTTCATATTTAGGGGTGCCAGCCACCAAGCAACAAAAACTAAGAAATTAAGAAAAGTATTGTAGAAAATCTGAGTACATACTAGACCCTGCTGTCTCTATTTATTCTAGACCCTGAAAAGTATTGTAGAAAGCCTTTTGGAAGATATGATTTTTTTAAAAATAATTCAGTGTTTCATATTGTTTTCTTTTCTTAATTATTCTAGACCCTGCTGTCTCTATTTATTTTCACCAATGTGATATAGAAAAATACACCTGCAGTTTCCACTAAAAAGAAAGAAGCAAATGGCGCTACTGTTGAATATGCTGTCAATGATGCCTAATTAAAAGTTAATGTTGAGAAGGAGCTTGTCTCTCGCAGAGGAAGATGAAATGGAAGCTCTTTTGGGAAAGTAGGTGCTACCGATCTGTCTTCAAATGTATTTTCAGGTTGCCTATTTGTGATGTATAAGCATATGAATAATGTTTTATGGGTGCAGATGATTTATTCAATGCCATCGAAAGCAACTTTCTGTTTTTTGTTTCTATAAAAGTTAAATCATATCTTTTTGTTTTTTATAATACCAATGTGCATGATTAACCAATGTAGTTTTTGAATGGTCATTTATGTCACCGAGAAAATTGTTGATTAACCAATGTACTTTTGTTTTTTCAGAATATGCTTATTATGTTGTATTTTTCTTTATATAATAACACGTACAAGTGTAATTGTTTTACCAAATGAAACAAAGTATCCTTGAAACCACAAATGTAGGTTTCAGTTTCAAACATGTAAATGCCAAGCTTCTTATAAGAACACAATCTATCAGTTAGACTGTAGTTAAAAAAATATACTGGTTTTATGTATAATGTAATTCTTTGTACTAATGATGTTCTTTATTTCTTTAATCTTTCTAACATTGTCAATGTATTATTTATTTATGACCTCTTTGCGACCCAAGTACATTAAAGTACTCAATTCTTTGCTTTAAATAAAAAAAGAATTCTAATTAGATAAGGCCTATGTTTCAGCTCACATTGATGCCAAAGTTTCTGCTTAAGGCCTATGACTTTGGTGAGCTTTTTAAGATTCTAATTAGATAAACATCTTCATTAAGTATTATACGATAATCACTTACTCCCTCCGTTTTAAATTATAGGATGTTTCGACATTTTCACACAAATTAAAAAAAAATTATTATTTTATTGAAAAGTGAAATGATATATGACTTTATAAAAATGTCTTTTAACAATTATATTAGAAAAGGAAATTAAAAAAATAAAAAAATGAAAGAGAAATAAATATCAGAGAGAATATAAGACAAAAAATAACTAATGATGTTTGAGATTTTAAAGTGATTTATAATTTAGGATAAATATTTTTGTCATTGACAAAGTGGTTTATAATTTAGGAGAGAGTATTTGAGTTGACCATCGTATATGCATTTAATCTTCAAGTAGCTTAGGGAATTGCAAATTGAATTTAATATATTTAATGGATGGAGATAGTCATTTATGCGTGAGGGATTAGAAACCTGTTATTGAGTATGGATGACTTGGTAAGTTGGGCACTTATGAATTCAATTAAAAGAAAGGGAAAACAACTACTAACTAACTAATGTATGATATTCATCTAAATTTTGTTATATTAATGTCTCATACACTTGAATATCACTGCTTCAAAGAAAAAATTGAGAAAAATTAATTAAAAGTGAGTAGTCGTAATTGGTGGAACCATGATGTACCACAATTTTGTTATTAAAAAATATACACAAGTCGTAAAGGGAGTATTCATTTGGTTGTTGTATAGAACATGTACTACTTTTAATTTATAAGGGACCATTCTTTGCACCATTCTAACAAAGAAGGGATAAACCATCATTTTTAGTCTCTAAGCTATCGGTTCCTCTTCAATTTTAGTGTTTAAACTATTTGTTCGTCTTCAATTTAGTCCCTAAATTATCTAATTAAGGATTAAATATATTTTATCTTCTGTAATAGTAGTGAATTTTGATTTATTTAAAATTTTTTTTTTTGTCCTTCAACAAATCAAGATTCTCTCTAATTTGACGTTGGTTTAAGATTCCAGCAGAATTTATATACGTAACGCTTAATGTGATTTTTTTTTGTTTTTTTTTTAAATTTCACGTTGAAATTCAACTATTTTTTATTTTTTTATTTTTTATTTTCTCCCACTTAGACAAGTTTATTTTTTTTGTTTTATTTATCTTATATTAATTTGATACATTAATTTTGTGTGGTACTTAATTTTTTTGATAGGTATTTAATTTTGTGTGGTACACTAATTTGATACACAAAATAAAAAATATATAATAGAATTGTAAAAGAAACACTATTATTTTTATTAAATTAATCTTATTACATGATTGATTAATATTATTATTTTTATTATATTTTTAAATATAAATATTACTTTACTATCTGTTCAATTATTAATTTTAATTTATTAATTTTTTTTCAATATTTTTAATAAAAGTTAATTTTATGAAATTACTTATAATTTTAATTTATTTTGACTAGTAAATCTTGTAACGAAGAACTTGAAATCTATATATAACTTGTGCGTAGAAATAATAAATTATGCGTATGCATAATGGTTAATGTGGTTCTAGAGTAACGTGTGGTGATTGAAGACAATAACATGGACGATAGGGAGTCTAAGATTATATAGATTTCAACATTTTGATTTTTAAACATTTTTTAAATCCTTTTAATGTATATATTAAATATAATATTATTTTATGATTATTGTCTGGCTGTCTTTAGTTGATTTTTTTATCAAGACTTTATTAACACCATTGGATCTTGGGTGTTGAGTTCAACTCCACCAAAATGGATGAATAATTTTAATAATAGTTTGATTAAATTTTTTATTCAAAAGTGGTTTATTCATTTTTCCCATCCCCTCTTCATCTTATCCCTTTCTTATTGCACTAGGTGTTATTGGAGCATGATCTCTATATCATGTCTAAAAACAAATGGTGCATAAATTGCTGTTGACCGGCCTCAAAATAGGTGCGACTTCTATATAAGTCCACTTACGATTGCTTAACATAACGCTAAATTTTGTCCCGATTCGAATAAATTATCATTCGTGGCCCAAACTTATGATTGCAAGGCCAAGTATATTAATTTGATCTCTTTGATCCAATAACCTTGAGATTCATTGTGTGGAGGCTTTGGTTCTACCAATCCTCTAATAGATCTACAAAACCTTTGGTCAACGCGAATCACTTAAACATCGTTGATCATTAAAAGGTACTTATGAGAATTCCAAATGGATGATATACTTGATAAAAAGCAAATGCAACTTGTTGTGTGGAGGCTTTGGTTCTACCAATTCTCTAATGAGTTCCAAATGCAAGCTTCAAGATGGTCATCCAACTAACCACTAATTATTGACTTGTCTTACTTTATGATTTTATTCTTTTTATGCTTTATGTACCATTTACTTTTAGCATTTATATTTCATGCCATTTTCATCTTTGCTCATTTGAGCATTTACTTTATTGTCATTTTTACTTTGCTCACTTGAGCTTTTCTTTTCCTTTCTTAAGATACTTAATAATCAACATAAACCCTAAAAAATGTTTAATGGTATTTGGACTATTTAGTTACTATCCTTGGCATTATGGAGCATGGGACTTTTCTTGGACTTAGGATTAGAAATCTTGGCCTATCTTGGAGACCTTGTAATCTTATCTAATTATTCTGTCTGGATTTCTTGAGGTTTACCTCAAGACATTGGGTTGTTTGTTTGTTTTGTGTACAGGTTTTTGTGATTACACCCCTTGTTTGTAATCTGGGATTCACCCGTATACAACCGTTACTCTGTCCAATTTTTATGAAGACTTAATACACTTGAAGTTTGGTTCTCTCAAGAGGTCTAGTATTTTTTTGCTTGATTGGTTTCAATCCAAGGAATGAGAATTCTATCTTGGCTCATAATGTCAAGTATTGGCTTATTGTTGGTTATATGGTTCTTATCCCTAGCTTTCACCTCATGCTTTAGGATAGTCTCTTCTTCTCCTCCCATCTTCTTTAATTTCAAAAATCTTCTTCCTCCTTTTGAAAACTCTTCTTGTTTTGAAACTTAAACTACTTTCATAATAAACTTGGACTTAGGTCCATGCATTTACAAAAACCTTTTCATAAATAAATTTTAATCAATTTAATAATATCTTGACATTTTTTGTGAGAAGACTAAAAGTCAATCAATCTCATTCAAACCATTTTGCCACTTTGGCTTTTACTTTAAACTTTTCTCAAAAGATTAAACTCTTGTTAATCCTTGTAGTGATGCAAACAACTATACTTCTATAATATGTAGTGAAGGTAGATATTTTCCACTTGGGTGTTGAGTGAGGCATTGTTGATTTTGAAATCCAAGCCATATCCTTCACTTTGAGATGATGCAAATTCTCCTTTCTCATGATTGTGGGTAGTAGGTATGTTTTCCACACGAACAATGACAATGATGTTTTATCTCATAAAATTGACCAACGCATTTGTGTTTCAAAATTTTAAAAGAGGAACTACGTGTACCCTGATCCCCTATTGCACGAAAGGTGGTACATAGGCACTAAAGGTTCGCAACCGCGCCAGGTGCAAAAATCATAAAAAATATATTTCTTTCCTTACCTCCACCATCCATTTTATATACAACATTTTTTTATATATAGCCAAAATATACAGATTTTACAAAGAGGTTCCTGCGAAGTACCATAGATGTTTAGGGTGCTAAGACCTTCCCTTTGCATAACCAACCCCCTTACCTTGAATCGTTCCCCCTCTTTTTGGGTTATTCACTCTTTTCCAATTCCTTTGGAAACAATAAAGTGCGGTGGCGATTTTTATTTTGATTTGTATGAAGTCTAGTCAATCCAATGGCTTAGTCTTGAACATTTCTACCGCTACCGAAAAATGGCGACTTCACTGGGGAAAGATTGACCTCTTGCTGGTCCATCCCTAAGTGGGTTGAGCCTATCTTTGTTTATATCTGTATATGTGTTATTACTGTTTTTGTGATTATATGTTGTATATATGTTTGTCTGGATTTTCCTGGTTTTCAGGATGCTTGGTGATTACTCATAAGTCCTATACCCGGACTTGGGCAAACTTTAAGATAGGACGGGCGGTATAGTCATGTTAACTTTGAGGGAGTAATCCCAAAAAAGGAGGCATGATATCCCCCACTCAGTGGAGGCCCCTTTGACTGTAGTGTCGTTTACCGAGTAATCGGGAAGACGTACTACTTTCGACCTGGGAGCCTGTTGAAACTGAGGACCGTAGAATATCAAACCCATCTTGGCCTTTTAGGTGTAGTGCGGAAGCTATGACGGAGTAATCCGGAAATAGTTGTCACGCGATACTACGCTCGGACGAGTCTTTCTTGAGAATATTACTAATTACCGAGTTAATCGGGAAGTTGGTAATATCCGAAGGAAGGATGTAGACTCTGGGAACCTCTAGAACCTTGTTCGTCAGGTGATAAATTTTTAGACCAACATCTTATGGGTAGTACCTTCGA